CCTGTTCACACCTGCAGCTCTGAACAGGCCCACTTCCACGCCGTTGTGCCGGGCCCATTAATGAACCAAGCAACCAATGATCTCATTAACTAACTGACAGGCCCACTTCCACGCGTTTGTGCCTGGGCACGCCGTCGAGCTGACGCCCCTCGTCGGCGATTTCTTCTGCCGCACACCTCCGATCGTGCCGGCGAGCGTGCGCGCGCGCGCGCGCAGCTGCGCCCCCCCCCAAAACGCGTGCCACGCCACCCGCTGGTCGAACCCGATCGGTAGGCCAGCGCGCACGCGTGGCTCCGCTCCGCAGCCGCGCCGTCAGGGGGGCGGCGTGGCGTCGGTGCCGGCGCGGTGCCCGCCCCCCGCCCCCGGCCCGGCCGGCGGTGGCCGCGCGAGATTGGGGCTGCGCCGTGGCGCGACGAGTCGGTGCAACGCAAGCACCTCTCGCTGCGGGACGAGAAGGGCGGCGGGATGCTGCTCTGGGCCGAGAGCGTCGACTCGGAGGAGGGGGCTGCCGCCGCCGCGTGCTCTGCCTGTGAACGGCGCCTCTCCACGCCTCCGCTTGTGAGCAGGAGGGCTGCCGCCGCTGCGTGCTCTACGCCGAGTTTTGGTGCGTCGTCAAGACCGCGCCTGCCCGCTCTACCGCCGCGGACGCGACCCTCTTCACGCCTCCAGCTGTGAACAGGCTCCTCAACAAGACGCACCTGCCACTCTCTGTCCGCTCACTCATCTCCATCAAGCCACCGGCGGCGGGCGCCGCCGCCGCGTCGAGCGCCGCCGCCGCCGCCGCCTCGCCGGCGGGCCACGGCGACGACGATGCCGACGACGCGTCGCCCGGCGGCTCGTTTGGCAGCCGCCGCTCTCTGCCTCGCTTCTCTGCGGTGGGCCACGAGCCGCTCGAGCCGTCGGTCGCTCGCGGCCTCTCGCGCGCGGCGATCGAGGACGGCACCGCGCGGCTGCCGCCCTTTGAGCCGGCCGAGCTGCCGCCCGCCGCCGGGCTGCCGCCGCTGATGCTCTCGTTCGGTCCGTCCGGCAAGCTCACCGGCCAGCTGGTGGCCGTGCAGGTGGACGAGGGGCGGTGGGCGGAGCTCTCCCTCTCGCGCTCCAAGGCGGCCAGCTTCGCGCTGCGGCACGAGGACGTGGTCTACGAGCTCGCCGCGCAGGTGACGCGGGCTCCGGCTGACTTCCACCGCACACGGCTGGTGACGCTGCTGCCGCGGTACGTGCTCCTCAACTCGACGCCCTTCGACCTCGTCGTCGGGCAGGCCGGGCACGACGCCTGGTTCCTGATGCCGCGCCACCGGCCGCACTCGCCCGCGCAGCGTCTCGTCTGGCACTGGCCTTCCGCGAGGCACAAGCGGCGGCTCTGCGTCAAGGTGCTCGACGCCGACGGCTCAGAGTGGCTCCCGTGCGCGCCCTTCAAGCTCGGCGGCGGCGGCGGCGCCAGCTCGGGCCTGCGCTGCCTGATCAAGTCGAGGCACCCCTCCGAGCCGCGCAAGCTGCGCGTGCTCGGCGTGCACCTCGAGGTGGTGGACGGCGTCTGCTTCGTCAAGCTCTGCGAGGCGCGCGCGCACGAGATGCCGCTGATGATCTCGAACAACACATCGGCGCCGATCCGCATCCTGCAGTCACAGCCCGGACGCACACTCCTCGGCCAACCCTCGCCCGCCGACAAAGCAAGCGCAGAGGAGGCGCGCTCCGTGCGCGCCTCGCTCTCCGCCGCCGCCGCGCCGCCGCGCCTCGCCGCCGCCGCCCCGCCCGCGCGCGCCCGCCGCGGCTGGCGGCGCCATTTCGACGTGCCGGCCCTGTTTGGGGCGAGGGAGCGCACGGAGGGGGAGGCGCCGCCGTGGCGCGGCGCGGGCGGCGCGGCGGGCGGGGAGAGGCGAGGCGGGGGGGGTGGAGGGGGAGGGGGCGGGCGCTCGCTGCCTCCGCTCGACCTTCCGCCGAGTGGGGGGGCGGCCGAGGCGGTGGCGGAGGGGGCCCGCGGGGCGGCCGGGGCGGCGCCGCCGCCGTCCCGGGCCGGCGCGGCGGCGACGGCGGTGCAGGCGCCACGTGCGCGCTGAGTAGTTCGTCAGTGCGCTCGTTAGTTGATGGGTTGGTGTCGGCGACGCAGGCGTCCTTGCGCGGCCTTTTGGCGAGGCGCACGCTTGCGGCGTCTCGCAGGGTGGCGGCGGCGACGGCGCTGCAGGCGGCGGTGCGCGGCCGGCTCGCCCGCCGCACGCTCGCCTCGACGCTGAGCGCCGACGTTCGCGGCGTCGCCGAGTCGCTGCGCGAGCAGGCGGCGCCGCGCTAGTCAGTCCGTTAGCTAGCTCGTTGATGAATGCCGAGTCGCTGCCGCGTTGGTCCGCTGATTCATTAGCTGCTCAGCCGATGCCGCGTCGTTGCGCGAGCAGGCGACGCTGCGGCAGCAAGGCGCGACCCGAGTGCCATCCAACCAGACGCCGTCGTACGGAGAGGGCGTCTGCTCGGCGCGCCGCTCCTCGTCGCGCGGCGGCGGGGCGGCCTCCTCCACCAGCGGGTGGCCGAGCGAGCGGCGCGAGGAGGCGGAGCCCCTCGTCGGCGCGGACGCCGGCGGCGGGGAGGCGGGCGGCGAGGGCGGCGGAGGCGGCGAGGCCGGCGGCGGCGACGGCGAGGAGGGCTCGCTCGGCAAACTCGTGCGCATGACGATCAACGCGCGTCGGTGGAGGGAGCGGGCGGCGGTCGCCGCCATCCGCGCGCGGGTGCCGGGCGGCGCGCGCAGCCAGGCGGAGGCGGGCGAGGGGGGGGCGGCGCGGGGGCCGCCCGTCACGTCGCTCAGCGCGCTGGCCGCGTCGGTCCGCGAGCTCGAGGAGGGGGAGGGGGTGGCCACCGACGAGGGGATGGCGAGGCGCAGGTGGTGGCAGAGGTACGGCGACATCCGGGAGCGGACGGACGTGCTGGGGAGGAGCGTGCCACCCCGCGCGTCGCCTCGGAGGAGGAGGTGCAGCCGGCTAGTCGCGAGTCTGCTCCTAGGCGCGCCAGCCTGGTCGCCTCGGAGGCGCAGCTAGTTCGTTTTGAGCTGCTAACTACCTACTACTAATTAGGCGCGCCAGCCTCGCCGCCTCGGAGGCGCACTTAGTTAATAATTCGCGGAACTGCTCATTACAAACTGCTGGTTAGGCGCGCCAACTTCGTCGCCGCGGAGGCTCGCTCGCGCGCGGCGGCGGTGCGGCGCCAGCTGCGCAACGGCGACTTTGAAGGGGCGACGGGGCGCATGCTGCGCTCCAAGGCCCCCCGCCCCCGCTAGCTAAGTACTTCATTAGCTATCAACTAATTCACTAGCGGATGCGGGCGCCCCGAGGCCCCCCGCCCCCGCGGTACGCGAAGGCACTCTCCACTACCCCCACGGTACCCGAACCCACCCTCCCCTGCCCCCGCGGTGGCGGCGCGTCTCGGGCGCTCCACTCGCTCACCTCGCTCCCGCTCCGCCCTCAAGGCGCCCCCCGCGGTGGCGCGCCGGCTGCTGCCGCAGCGGAAGCGCCGCATCGGCGGCGCGGATGGGGGAGAGGTCGGAGTGGACACGATTGCGCCTGGCGAGTCGGCGGGTCGTCGCCGCGGAGGGGGAGCGAGCGCAGCGCGCCTCCACGCCGCTGCCTGTGAGCAGGCGAGACGGCCGTCTTTGCGTGGGACTTGCCCTACGGCTCGCACAGGTAATCCATTAATAATTAGCTAATTAATGAGCCGTCTTTGCGTGGGACTTGCCCTACGGCTCGCACAGGTAATTCATTAATAATTAGCTAATTAATGAGCCGTCTTTGCGTGGGACTTGCCCTACGGCTCGCACAGGTAATTCATTAATAACTAGCTCATTAATGAGCCGTCTTTGCGTGGGACTTGCCCTACGGCTCGCACAGGCTCGAGGTGCGGGGCGGGGGCGGAGGCGAGGGCGGCGGCGAGGGCGGCGAGGGCGGCGGCGAGGGCGGCGGTGAGGGCGGCGACAAGGGCGGCGAGGGCGGCGAGGGCGGCGAGGGCGGCGAGGGCGGCGGCGCCGGCCCCTCCTCCCCCTCCGCCGCCTGCTCCACCTCCTCGGAGTGGTGGTGCGCGCTCCCCTGCACGCGCGCCTTCCACACACGGCCTACTCAATAGCGCGAGTGGCTGGCTCATTGCTGGTAGGTGCTCGCTCACCTGCACGCGCGCCTTCAACGCGCGGCCGATCGGCGGGGACTTCGACGTGGAGGTCTCGCTGATGGACATCGCAGGACCTCCCCCCCCCCCCCCCCTACGCTAATGCCGCCAGAGGAGTGAGGAGTGCGCTCGCCCGCTCGCGCAGGCCCGCTCAAGCTGCTCGAGATCTCCGGGGGCGGACTCCGACCGAGCCGGGCGCCGCGCCGCCGCGCCGGAGGGGGGGGAGGCGGCGCCGTGGCGGCGGCGGGCGGCGGCGGCGGGTCGAGAGGCGGAGAGGGGGGCGCCGCGCCGCTGCTGGCGACGGTCGACTCGTGGGACGCGGGTGGCCCTTCCTAGACACTTCCTAGACACTTCCTAGACACTTGCTACACACTTCCTACACACTTCCTACACACTTCCTACACACTTCCTACACACTTCCTACACACTTCCTACACACTTCCTACACACTTCCTACACACTTCCTACACACTTCCTACACACTTCCTACACACTTCCTACACACTTCCTCGACTGTCAACGCGTGGGACGCGGGTGCATCCGCCTTGCTCCCTCCCGCGCGGTGCCGTTGCGGCCCTCCCTGTCTCTACCCCTCCGGGCAGCGGTGTGCGCGTGCCTCTGTCAGGCTCGTCCGATTGGCTCTCCTCCGACGAGAGCGACGGCGGGCAGGGCTCGGGCCGCTCCGGCGGGGTCCGCGGCGGCCGCGCTCGGTCGCAGGAGAGCGACCGGCTCTCGGCCACCCTCGGCCACCCTCGGCCAGCCTGGGGGCCGTCTCGGCTAGCCTCGGGGCCATCTCGGCCAGCCTGGGGGCCATCTTGGCCAGCCTCGGGGCCATCTCGGCTAGCCTGGGGGCCATCTCGGCTAGCCTCGGGGCCGTCTCGGCTAGCCTCGGGGCCGTCTCGGCCAGCCTCGGTTACTCGCCGCCATACTCGCAGGAGAGCGAGCGGCTCTCTGCGTCGGCGCCGCCCGCGCGCCCGCCGCCGCGCCGGCCGAAGCTGGCCGCGGCGGTGGCGCGCACGGACGAGGCTCTGCACGCGGCGGGCGCGGCGGTGCGGCGGGGGGTCGCCGGGGCGGCGGAGGCGTCGCGGCGCGCGGCGGCGGCGGCGCGCGGCGGCGGCGGCGCGGCGGCGCGGGCGGCGGGGCGGGCGGCGCGGCGCGCGCGTGTCGAGTGGCTCAAGTACTTGTCGATGCTCGAGCGGCTCCGCTCGGCGCCCGAGCCGCTGCCGCTCATCCTGCTCGAGGCTGCGCGCGGCGGCGGCGGCGGCGGCAGGGGCGGCGGCATGGTCAAGGTGCAGCTGGAACTCGAGCTCGGCCGGCTGGCAGGAGTTGACTAGTCGTGAGTAAGTGATTCCCCCCACCGGCGAGGTGGACCTGCACGTCGAGCTCGGCAAGCTGCACGTCTCGCTCGTCAACGCGACGCCCGCAGAGCTGCTGCAGCTGTGCGTGCACTTCCTAGACACTTTCTAGACACTTCCTAGGCACTTCCTAGACACGTAGCTGTGCGTGTACTTCCCAGACACTTCGTAGATACTTCTTAGACACTTCCTCAGGTGCGTGTACGGGCTATGCTGCGACTTCCCAGACACTTCGTAGCCACTTCCTAGACACTTCCTCAGGTGCGTGTACGGCCTATGCTGCGACTTTCGGCGCGACCTCGCAAACGCGCTGCAGCCTGTGCTCGAGCTCTCGCTCAGCGCGAGGCGCGCGCCGCCCGACGGCCAGCCCGCCGCACGCCCCTCCTGTTGAGCGGCCCGCTGACTGGCTGAGGAGTGGAGCAGGCACCTGCAGCTCGACAACCAGCTGCTGCACGCCTCGCTGCCCGTCGTGCTCGCGCCGACCGCCGCCGCCTGCAGGCCCGCCGAGGGGGGGCGCGCGAGGGCGCGCGAGGCGGGCGAGCCGGTGGTGCAGCTCTTCCTGCGCCTCAACCGCATGCGCGGCGTGGACTACTTCCAGAAGCTGGAGCTCAAGCTGGCGCCGCTCTCCCTGATGGTGGAGGAGTCGCTCGTGCTCGAGCTGCACCGCTTCGTCGCGCCGCTGCTCGGCCTGCCCGCCCTCGCCGACCCGGCGGAGGGGGAGGCAACCTCGCGGGAGGGGTGGGAGTGGCGGCTGGTTGCGCCGGCGCCGCGGCCGCTGCTCGAGCGGCAGGTGGAGATCGCGCGAGATCGCCCGAGATCGCCCTAGACCGCTTGAGATCGCCGAGATCGCGCGAGACCGCTCGAGATCGCCCGAGATCGCTCGAGACCGCGCGAGATCGCCCGAGACCGCTCGAGATCGCCCTAGACCGCTTGAGATCGCTCGAGATCGCGCGAGACCGCTCGAGATCGCCCGAGATCGCTCGAGACCGCCCGAGATCGCCCGAGACCGCGCGAGATCGCCCGAGACCGCTCGAGATTGCTCGAGATCGCATGTTCGAGCGGCAGGTGGTCGTCGACCTGTGCACCGTCTCGCCGCTCATGTTTGACGTCACCCTGCGCGCCTCCGGGCAGACGCGCGGCTCGACGCCAGCCGGCCAGCCCCGCCGCTTGCCTGTGGTCCCGCCACGGCAGTAGTTGAGGTGCGAGCCGCCCTCGTGTGGCTTGGACGCAGGCCAGCTCATCGCCGTCGCCCTCACCCTCTTCGGCAACATCGACGCGATGCCGATTCGGCTCAAGTCGTACACGATGCGGAGGCGCCTCTCTCTTTTAGCTTATAAACAGCTGATGAGTCACTCACTCAAGCCGTGCACGGTGCGGAGGCGTTACTCCGATGACCATAGCGTATTTATGAAGTGATTAGCTAGTCCCTCACTCACGCCGTGCCACGGTGCCGAGGCACCTCTCCGACTGGTCCGACTTCACCGAGCGGCTAGCGTCCCACTACGTGCTGGTCGCCTCGCCGCACGTGCTCGTGCTGCTCGCGTCGCGCAACACCTAGTCAATTATTATTAGTGAAGTGCCCGATGAGTAATTAACTAGGTGCTCGTGCTGCTCGCGTCGCTGAACATCACGGGCGGCGTGCCAGGCCTCTCGGGCCCTCGTCGGCGGCGCTTCTGGCCTTCTCTTCGCTGTGACCCTGTCTCTTTCTTTTCTCCTCCCACAGGCCTCCTCTCGCACCCTCGTCGGCGGCGCGTGCGGTCCTCTCTTCGTTGTGAGCCTGCTTTTCTTTTTCTCCTCCCCCAGGCCTCCTCGCGGCCCTCGTCGGCGCGCTCGCCGAGCCGCTCCGGCTGGGCGGCGCCCTCGCGCTGGGCGGGTCGGAGGAGCTCGCCGCCTTGAGCGCGTCGCTCGAGCGAAGTAAGTACCCATCAAGTACTTAGTTAATCCTTAATTAGGACCTCGCCGCCTTGAACGCGTCGCTCGCCGAGCTGGCGCGCAAGGTGGTCCACTTGCCGTCGCTCCTCCTCTACCGCGTCGCCACCGCCGCGTCCGCCCTGCTCTCCTTCGCCACCCTCTCCCCCTCGTACATCCGCACGCACGCGCTCGGCGTCTACGCGTCGGAGGCGTGCCGGCCGGCGGCGCGGGGAGGCACCTCGCCCGCCCGAGGTCACCCGAGATCACCCGAGGGTCGGCCGCGGGGCTAGGTCCCGATCGGGGTCGTCGACGGCGCGTCGGAGGGGGTCGCGATGCTCCTCGACGGCATCGTCGGCCTCGGCGGCGTCATCTCGAAGCCGTACCGCGGCGCGCTCAAGCACGGGCCGCGCGGCTTCGCGAAGGGGCTGGTGCAGGGCGCGCTCTGCGTGCTGCGGCCGCCGATCGGCGTCCTCGACCTGCTCACAACCCTAGAAGCAGAATACGGGTTCTTGTATCTCCCCATATCTCCCCATATCTCCCCATATCTCCCCATATCTCGTGCCTAGAAGCAGAAGACGTGTGCATGCACCCCAACTACCGCCCGAGGGGGACACGTACTCCGCTGTATTCCCCCGCATTCCGCCGTACTCACTGTACTCTTCTCCGCTGTCTTCACGCGGTGCTCGGAATACGCTGCCCAGTACCGCATCCGCGCCCCGAGGTTGGCGTATTCTGCGTCTAGGCTCACAAAGACGGTCGAGGGGCTGATCCACTCGCCCTTCCTTGGCGTGCGGCGCCACCTGCGGCAGCCCCTCCCCGCCGCGAGGGCTGCAGGCGGAGCTGCGGACGGCGCCTCGCCACGCCCGCCTCCCGCTGTGAACAGGCAGCAGCAGCCCTTCGCGCTGCACGCGAACCGGCTCGTCGCCCCCTTCAACGCCGAGGAGCGCGCCGCCGAGCGAGCTGCTCCCCGCGCCGCGGCGGGCGGCGTCCCTTCACCCTCCCCCCCCCCCCTTCCCCCCTGTGAACAGGAGAGCCGCGCGTACGAGCTCCTCTCGCTCTGCTCGCCGGCCGCGCCGGCGCGCGGCGGGCGCGGCGGCCGCGCCGAGTTCTTCCAGGCGCAGCGCCGCCCGACGCGAGCGCCGCGAGGGCCACGCCCTGGCGACTCGCCCGCCGTTAGCCGCGCGCCGTTGGTCGCAGGCGCAGCACCCTATCGAGTACCGCGACGGGATGCGGCTCGAGCAGCGCGTGGCGCTCTCGCCGCGCCGCGTGCGCGTCGACCAGTGGTTCGATGGTCGATGCAACCGGACTGAGCGCTTACTAGGTGCTCGTCACCACGCTGCGCGTCGTCTACGGCCGCCCCGAGCGGCGCGAGGGGGAGGCTGCCCCCGAGTGTTCCGCCCGCTGACTGGTGGTTGTGGATGGCCGGAGTAGGCTGCCTCGAGCCGCTCGAGCTGCTCTTCGAGGTGCCGCTCGAGCGGATGGCGCGCGTCGACCTGCAGGAGCCGTTCACGCACATCATCCTCTGGACGTGGACCGAGGTGCGCGTGCTGCGCCGCGCCGGCCTCAACGCGATCCCGAACATGGTGCTCGAGCGCCACATCAAGGGGTCGCGCCCCTCGCAGCTGCGCGCCGCAAAGGAGCACCTGCTGCTACTCGCCAACCAGGAGGAGGTGCCCGCCGCCGTCGCCGAGCAGATGGCGCCGCTGCGGGTCTGAGGGGGTTGCTGGTTCGACACTGTCGATTGTGTCAAAAAAATGACACATGTCTGCACGTGTTTACGCAATCTGTTTTTCGCGCCTGTCCTGCTTCGATGGCGATGGCGCTAAGAGGTTCCTCTTTTCCGCGCCCCCCCCGCAACGCGCGCGATATGGAGAAAAGACGCGCCACTGGTTTGTTTAACATCGAGGCTAGCTCAAAAGAAAACTAACATGGAAGGCAAGGGATTAAGCGTGTGTGTGTGTCTCGCGCCTTGCGGGGGGGGAGCGGAAAGGAGGAACCTCTTCCCAAGAGCACCACTCTTGGAGCGCCGCCACTACCACCCAGAGCGCTGCATCCAAGCAGCGCCGGGCAATGACGGCTTACCGCCCACCCAGCCCCCCTCGGCACACCCCGGCAGCCAATGTGTGACGGCTCGAACCCGCTAAGCCATCCCGCAAGCGGGATAGCCCGCCACTCGAACCCGCAAGCGGGCGTACGAACCGCGAGCGGCTCGCACTCGTGACACGCAGGCGTCCGCCAGACGGCGCCGGGGCTAGGCGACCGAAGAGGAACTACGGCAAGAACCGCACACCACCCGCTGACAGTTCCGCGGCGCCCGCCAGGGGCGTGCGCGAGACAGGGCTCGAAGCCCTTTTCTGTGAGCAGGGATTCCCTCCCGGCGGGGGTTGTGGCGGAGAGCCGGCATGGGAATCGCCGGCCCCCACCCAGGGGGTGCCCCTGCCAGGCGCCGCAAGCGGCGCCCGACAGGGGCGGGTGCCCCCACCCCGAGGGGTGGGGGCGGGGGCGGGGCCCAAAGTGATTCGGCCTATCGCCTCGGCAAGGTCCTCGGTGCGATTCTCCACGGTGTCGTCGAGCGAAAGCGCGGTAGCCGCTGAGCCCTGGTCTGACAGCCTGACAGCAAACCCCGGACAGCGCCTGACAGTGCCCGACAGCCTGACAGCGTTGACAGCACTTTCTCTGACAGCCTGACAGCACGTATCTGACAGCCTGACAGCAGAGCCTGACATCAGAGGCGTCCCGTCGCTGTCAGGCCCTAACCTGACAGCCTGACAGCTGCCCGACAGCCCGACAGCACACAGCGGCCTGACAGCAGCGCTGACAGCCCGACAGCCACAGAGCGTGCAAGTACTACCAGCTGACGAGCGACAACGATGGGGAGGCCTTCCGCTGGACCAGCAACTACCAGATCATCAGCAAGGTGTACCTGAAGAAGCACTCCACCCTGCCTCTCTGCTATTCTCTCAGTGCGGCAGACAAGAAGATGGTGACGTCCACCATGAAGAAGATGGTGGGACCGGAGGCAGAGTAGAGACTAGAGTATGTGCAGCAGAGTCCTGCTGGTCTCCTCTTGATAGTGTCATAAGTGTGGCTGGTGTGTGTCAGAGCCTGACAGCACCCGACAGCACCACCTGACAGCACCTGACAGCAACAGCCCAACGTCTGACAGCAGCAGCAGCCTGACAGCTCTGACAGCTCCGACAGCGTCTGACAGCAACACCCGACAGCTCCGACAGCACCTGACAGCTACAGATCCCCTCTGATGTCAGACACGCACCCGACAGCACCTGACAGCACTGACAGCACCCGACAGCTGGTCTGACAGAGGCACCTGACAGCGCCTGACAGCTGCCCGACAGCCTGACAGATCACCTGACAGCACCTGACAGCCTGACAGCCAGGGCTCAGGGTAGCCGCGGAGGTAATGACGTCGACATCGGTGGAATCGGCTGGGTCAACGTCAATGTCGATAGCTCTTTCACGCCGGATCCCCTTGTTGTCTCCGATGTGTCGCGCCTGCGCGCTCGGCGTGTATGAAATCCATATCACCCCCTGCTCCACGATGGGGGCTTTAGGCGACGAGGGCGGGGCGCTAGGCGGCGGTTCGTTTTCGGGGGAGTCGGGTGGGTCATCGGCGTAGCTAGAGGCCCCATCACCGATGTCGTCGAGTGGGATGGTTGTACCTCTTCCGTTAATACCCACGTCGTCGCCCACGGTGCTGCTCTCCCCGTCGTCTGCGTCTGTTGGGACAGACTCGTCTTGCCACTCCGGCGCGCCGCAATCCCTCGCGCCGCTCCTGCCGAGGTCAGCTTTCTTATCGACGTAGTCGTTCCACTTATGACCACTGTGCCCCTTGACGTGTCTCCATGTCACTTCGTGCCTCGACGCTAAATGCCGCCACGCTGCTCGAAGATAGCTCGCTAGTTGTGCGTTCTCCCCCGGCGAGATTCTCCCCGTCGCACACGCCATCGCGTACTCGCTGTCCGTTCGGACCACCCCTCGTGAGCCTGCTGGTTGTGGTGCCGTGTGGAGTAGTGAGCGAAAAAGCTCCGCAAGCGCTGACAGTTCTGCCGTGTTATTGGTGTGTTTCCGCGCCCCCACGAAAGCGGCGTGTACGGGGCTAGTCACGACGGGGCCGTAGCCTTCGGTCACGAGCATGGCATTTACGTCGCGTATGCCGTCCCCGCCCATGACTACGGCGTACGCCCATCCTGCCCTGCCTCCGTCTTCCGACCCATCAGTGTACGCCGTCCAGTCGGGTGGTCGCTGCTGCTGTGGGGGCGTGGTGCCAGAGAGAGAATTCTTGATACGAAACCACGACGACACACACCAGTCGACTCGCATCGGTTGCCTCCATGAACGGCGGAGCTATTCTCGCGCCCACACCACACCTGGCTCCAACGTGGACACGCCCATAGCTGGGGACACTACTAGGTCACGCATGGCATCACAGAAGTTTTATCTCTGGGCCCCGAAAGGCATCTCTAGCAGTGTCGTTACACATGCCCCCTCCCCTCCTGGGCGCATGCGCCTCACGTCTCGCCAGAGCATAAGCCCTTGGCGTGTGGCGAGACGAGTTTTTCGCCATCGCAGCGAGCAGCAAGCCGCCCGCCGCAAACAGCCGGAGGCATCGCCACGGCACTGGCTGCGCCGCGGTCCCGCACCCGTCGACGCAGCTCCCCCCGCGGAAGACCGCGCGTAGCAACGTCTTGACGATCGAGATGAGCGCGCCTGAAGCTCGCCCACCTACTGCCCCTGAGAGTTGGTTATGAGTGGGATCGGCTCCCCCCCTTGGGATCAAAGCTTCCACGACCTCACACCCAACATCCCAGGCGGGATCAGAAGGGGACTCCACACCGGACACCGCCCGGGCACAGCCCCCCTACCCGTCGGATCGCACAGAGGGCCCCCTCGGAGCAGCCCACACACAATCACGCATCGGCAGATTGAGTGCCTGAGTCAGGCAGACAGCACAGACAAGAGGAGAGAGAGGAGAGAGAGAGAGAGAGAGAGGAGAGAGGAGAGGGTGAGGGTGTGAACACACGTGAGGAGTGGGGGAGGGTGTCTGTGGTGGGTTGTAGTCATACTACGTGGTTACAACCACGCGCCCCTCAGGAGCTTAAGGTAGAGCTGAGCGTCCAAGACGCCTCGGTGCCACCCACCGGCGTGAAGACCATCCGGATCTACCGAGCTCGTCCTCCGGACGGACCCGTCCTCGCGATGGCCCACGGTCCTCCGTCGCCTGGTTGAACCCCCTGCCTCCCGGTTGACCCCCCGGTCCCCGTACACGACCATGAAATAAACTCAAAGTCCACCACAGCCACCAGCCTCCACCTCCACCCGCGAGCCGCCACCGCTGCCGCCCGCGACGCCGCCCGCCGCGTCAGATAGCCGCGACGCGCGCATCGAGTCGCGTCGGAGAGCCGCGCCGCACCAGCAGCAGCATCTGCACCACCAGCAGCAGCAGCAGCACCACCACCACCACCCGAGAGAGAAGCGCACCTGCCCGACGCCGCCCGCCGCGTCAGACGCTCGCGACGCGCGCGTCGAGCCCAGTCGCACAGCCGCGCCGCGCCAGCAGCAGCATCGGCACCAGCAGCAGCAGCACCACCACCACCAACAGCAACAGAGACAGGCAGTGCAGGCGCAGAGGCGCTCGCAGAGCGGCGCTCAGCGCCGCGCACGCCACGCTGCGGACCGTCGGACGAGCGCACCGTACGTCGGCGGCGAGCCGCGTCGCCAGCCGTCTCGCGAGAGAGCGGCGCCGCCGCGTGCGCGCAGCAGCTCTCTCTCTCTCTCTCTCTCTCTCTCGCGTGGTGCCGTCCCCACAAAAGAATCTTACAACAAAAGAAACGGCGGGATCGATGGCTTTTGCCGCGTTGCCGCCGGAGATGCCAGAGGCGTTAGTGGCTGGGCGAGGCGACGAGGCGGCGCTGCTGGCATGGCTCGACAGCGGCGGGCGGATCAACGCGACTTGCGGGGTAGGTGGTGTGAGCGGCGTCACCGTGCTGATGATCGCCGCCGCCCACAGCCACGAGCGGGTGGTCAATCTTCTGTTGCAGCGCGGCGCGGAGATCGACTTGCAGAGCGGCGACGGCGGCACCGCGCTGATGGGCGCCGCCGGCCAGGGCCACGAGCGGGTGGTCAACTTGCTGCTGCAGCGCGGCGCAGAGATCAACTTGCAGAACAGCAGAAGCGTCACCGCGCTGATGTGCGCCTCCGGCTACGGCCACGAGCGGGTGGTCGAGTTGCTGCTGCAGCGCGGCGCGGAGATCAACAAGCAGGACGGCAACGGCGGCATCGCGCTGATGTACGCCGCCCAGAAGGGCTACGAGCGGGTGGTCGAGCTGCTGTTGCAGCGCGGCGCGGAGATCAACAAGCAGGACGGCAACGGCGTCACCGCGCTGATCATCGCCGCCGGAAACGGCCGCGAGCGGGTGGTTGATCTTCTGTTGCAGCGCGGCGCGGAGATCAACATGCAGAACTGCAACGGCAACACCGAGCTGATGCTCGCCGCCAGCACCGGCCACAAGCGGGTGGTTGAGCTGCTGCTACAGCATGGCGCAGAGGTCGACATGCAGGACGGCAATGACGTCACCGCGCTGATGTACGCCGCCAGCACCGGCCACGAGCGGGTGGTCGATCTTCTGTTGCAGCGCGGCGCGGAGATCAACAAGCAGAACAGCGACGGCGACACCGCGCTGATGGACGCCGCCGGCAACGGTCACCCCGCCGTCGTCCTCCACCTGCTGCGGGCGGGCGCAGACGCGGCGTTGTGCTCTGCGAGCGGCAGGACGGCGCTGCAGATGGCCAAGGAGGAGGGCCACGCCGAGTGCGTGCGCGCCCTCGAGGAGCATGCGGCGGCGGAGGCGTCGGCGGAGGCAGCGGCGAGGGAGGCGGAGAGAGCGGCGGCAGAGGCGGAGGCGGCGCGGCATGCCGAGGCGCTGCTGGCAGAGGAGGAGGCGGAGAAGGAGGGGGAGCGCGCCAAGGAGAGCAAGAAGGGCAAGAAGAAGAAGAAGAAGGGGAAGGGCGGCGGAGGCGGCGCTGGGCCGTCGCGGGAGCCCGAGGATGAGGCAGCGCTGGCGGCGGCGGAGGAGGCGGAGTTGGCGGCGGCGCTCGAAGAGAGCGCGAGGCTGGAGGAGGAGAGGCGGGCGGCGGTGGAGCAGCCGACAGAGCCGGAGGCGCCGCCGGGGGAGGAGGAGCCGCCCGACGACTTCGTCTGCCCGATCACGACCGAAATCATGAGCGACCCGGTGATGGCGGCCGATGGGCACGCGTATGAGCGGTGTGCGATCGAGCGCTGGCTCGCGACCAAGTCGACGAGCCCGATGACGGGCGGCGAGCTCGAGAACACTAGCCTCTTCCCGCACCACATGCTGCGCCGGATGATCCGGGACTGGGACGGGGCGCGGAAGGCAGCGTGACCAAGCTCGTAATCGCGCCCCATCTCTCAACCCCATCCCAGGGGTGCACCCCATCCCAGGGGTGCACGCGGACTGTGCCTCACAGTTGTGACGCGGGAGCGACGTACGAGGCTCTCACGTAGACCGTGTGTGTGTGTTTTTTTTTGGGGGGGGGGGGGGGGGGCTCTTTTCCTCTTCTGGCAATTTTTTCAGACGGTCATATTCGGTTCATTAACCTGGATCTACCGAATTTTTCGCAAAAAAGAAGAAAATCATAAGAGACAACCCAGAACCGTTACGGAAAAGCATGCGCGACGCTGCCTCTTTGCACCGCTCGCTCGCGGCTGCGGGAGACACGGCCGCCGATGCGGCTCGCACTCGCTCGGCGGGCCTCCGTCCCACAGCCGCCCGGGCGTGCCACGGGTCTGCCTGGCGCTGCGCTGCTCGCACGCTGCACTGCACAAAGCTGCGACAACAAGGGGAGGCTCCTGAGCTTGAGCGTTGAGCAGTGCAGCTGCGGGCGCTCGTGGGCGGCTGTGCAGTGGTGAGAGTGCCTGATTGGAGGCGAGCTGGTGCTGCGCCAGGGTGCGCAGCATGCGCTCTTGCTCTGTGCTGAGGCATGCTGGCTGGCGCCCAACACAATGCCCTGGATGCATTGCTCCACGCCGTGCTGGCTGGCGCAGTACTGCCAGTGCGCCGACTGGCGCGCAGGGTGCGCGTCGCCGCGTGTGGCACGGGTGGCTCGAGAGGCGCGGCTGTCGTTCAACCCCGCGGCGCATGTGCGCCGCGGAAGCTGCTCGACAGGCTGCGGGCATCGCTGCGGCAGAAAGCGCCCGCCCTCTGCTTTGCTTTCGCCCGCGTTTTACGACAACTTTCGGTTTATCATAGCCGCCGAACTTTACCTCGCTGTTTCTGTATAGGAACCGGGGGCCGTCTTCCTCAACCAACCAAACCTCATTACCGACTGCCGGTTGTTGGGGACACGTGACTCCTGCAAAGGGCAGTGTCTCCACCCGGGAGTCGGACATTCCAAACCCCCCCCCTGCCCCCTCTCTCTCCCCCCCCATCCTAGCCCTCTCTCTCTCTCCTCCTCTTTCTTTCTCTCCTTCTCCCTCATTCCCCCCCCCCTCCCCCCTCTCCATCTCTGCCGCCCCCGTGCCAACCCCCGCCGCCGCCTCGCCTGCCTCCGCCTCCTCCGCCACCCCATCTCTCGCTCCCCCCCCCGCAAC